TTTTTCAGGGACTTCCTCAAGTGGAACGCAAAACATTTTTGCAGGTTTGCAAAAAAAGAACACCAAAGAACAACAAATAATATTTTGTGTGGTTCAACATTGCACATGTTCACCCTGGATTCAAGGTTATACGGGTTTGGAGGTATGGATGCTATTATGCCATATAATGATCCATGTTTCGAATTTTCTAGGCAGTATATGCCCACATAACCTCCATACCTCCAAACCTCCAAACCCTGAAAATGCCCTTGATGGGTGGCACAAAAACCATCCGCAGCATTTTTTCGGTGGTGCCCCAACATGATCCGGATCCCCTGCAGTGCGACTGGGTGAATTATAACGACCTCACACGACCTCACCCCAAATGGTTGTTGATGTGGGGAATGGTCCCAGCAACCACCTTATTTCAGGGTGGTGAAATATTGTAATTCACCCAGATCTAGATCATAATCACGGCGGACATCTCCATCAAGTGTCAGGCACATTCGCATCATTTTCCCCAAGTTTTCCTCAACTTAGTGATGTGAGGCAGCAGTGGGGGAGCCATGATGTATGAGGCCTCAAAAGGGCAAGTTGCCAATGCCATCAACAATTAATGCCACTGGCCAACGGGAAATGCAAAAACAAGTGGTTCGGCTGGCGAACCGCTGAAACCTATTCTTTTGGGGCGTTTCTTTTGGGACGCTTTTGGCCAAGAAACATTTTCGGGTCTTTGGCTCGGATCCAAGGCTCTAGTGACCCGAAGTTTGAAAGGCCAAGGGCTTTTCTGGTTCGTTTCCGGGGGATGAGAATTGGAATGACGCCAAGAGAAACCCATCCTCGATTCGGGTTCGTGTGTTCGGGAACCCTCAAAAATTGGTTCATGCCCAACATCCGGAAGGCCATTCCCTAGCTATCGAACCAGAGGCTGAAAAACCAAAGTATGCTCACGAGCCTGGAGTTCACGGACTTGGATTGTCACTTGTTGGGAGCTTGGTTGCGCCATTTTAGTGGCAGGCCGAAAGTTCGGACACCTTTTCTTGGCCCGGCTCGATCGGAAGCGAGTATTTCAATTGGCCAAGGCTTTGGCCAACTCGGAAGCCTTTTTCATGCATGGTTTGGATTGGCCACTTGCAGGGGCCTGTCAGCCTGAGGACCATCCTACATTAGCCTTTTTTTACCGGTTTCATCTATGCCCGGGTAAATTTCGAAGCGACCCATGTAGGACACGTTCTGGATGCGGCGTTTGTGGATCTACCCCTGCAGGATATTGAAAGAGTACTCAAAGATTACGCCAAAAGGACCAACAAGGATAAGAACAGGACTCTACCAAAGGCGCCTCTCCGATTTTTTTTTCTTCTTTCGTCTGGAGATGGGGTGCAGGATCCTAGGAATCCCTTCTTCTGGCGTTGGTAAATTTCGAAACGACCCAGGCTACAGGAAAATATTTTTTGGCATGCGCCCCAAAACACCCCTCCATTCAGCTGACTTTCAACTGCAACTGAAGGCTTTGACTCAATTTTGGGCCCCGAAAAGACGCGCCCAAATAAGACCCACCGTTTCTGTCGATCCCCTTTGGGGGACCCGCGCCTGGAAGACGCCTCGCGACGCCTTCCGCGCGCGGAACGCGACGCGCGAAGCGAGCGACGCGCGGAGCGCTGGAGGAGCTTCCCGGCGCTGCGGGCGCTGCAACCCCCGGAGCCTTCGCCGAGCGCCAGAGAGCGATCCCGCGGCCGGGAGGCGGGTCGCCATTTTGTTGACGGTCTGGGAAGTGGGGGGGGGGGGGGATTTAGGCAGGGGAAGGGGGGAACTTGATGGAGCAATTCCAGAGTTTAATTTTTGGTCTATCTTGACTTCGTTCCGCGGGGTTTCCCTCTTTGAAGAAGAACGTTCGCTTTTCAAGTGACAGTGGGTGGCACAATCCCCACCAGCCTAGGCAAGAGGGGTGGCTAAACTCTGACCCACTAATTCATCTGATTATGCCAGCTCGATTGTGTAGATGTGGTGGGATGATGAACTAGATCTCAGCCCATGAACTTCATGCGTGCATGTTTTTCCGCACATGGTCATTACAGTGTACATTCAAGAACGTGTTTTGTTCTTCCATGGAGCATTTTTTGGAGTTTGCTTTTTCGCTTACCGAAACCGATTCGGGGGTAAAAGGGGTGGTTTCGCCATGCAGGTCCTTCACTGGCCAGTCCCTTCCTGCAGTTGTTGTTCTCTCTTTTGTTTTTGTCCTCCGGTAACCGTCACCCCTGAATTGGTGGATTGGATTTTGTGGTTTGGATTTGGATTTGAGCCCCAGCTCCTTTGAAGCCAGTTTGCTGTTTGGGCATGCGGTGTTTCCAAGACGCAGACGCGTTTTTGGGGGCTATTGTGGATGGTCCAGAAAACGGCACCAGTTGGTAGGTGGTTCATCCCAGTGTTCAAATCGGGGTTCATCCAGTTGTGGTGGATCCACAGTACGGCTCCAGATCACGACGCTAAGGTTGTCGCTGCCACAGTCGAAACGGATTCCTTACCTCACTGAAACTTACCATGGGTTTGTGAGGGCATCTTCCCATATACCGAAGCTTACCATGGTCTTCTGGCTTATGCCATTTACCTTTTTCCCTAGCAGCTTTTTCAGGGAGGGTTTCAAAAGGAGAGTTCCGTCCACTGGGGTACCTGGGCCATATCTTTGGGGCTCGGAATCTGAAGGGTGTGCTCCACAACTGGAGCAAGCGGGCGTCTCTCAAAGCTTGCCCAAGACCGCCCTGGGGCTTTGAAGGGTATCCACAACTGGGCATCGTCACCGGCTTGCTGAAAACGGCCCCTTTTATCCGTTCTTCCATTCGACATTCGCTTTCAAGTTTTTTGTTTTCTTTCCCCCTCTTGGTTTCAAAGGGTCTCGGAGAAAAAAGACAAAAAAAACCAACAAAAAGACAAAAAGAGCTGAAAAAGGGACCTGCTCGATCATTTCCCGTGCCCTTTCCCGCCTCCCCGGCCCTTAGCTGCAGGACGGCAGCTCGTCGGACTCCAACGGCCCGGACCTGGGGTGGATGGTGCTCACCTCCCCGCGGGCGCGGACCCCGACGCCCCCGCGGAGGCCGTGACTTAGACCGAGGTCGTAGAAAAGGTGGGGAAGCTCGGCCGAAAGAGCACCCCTGGGTGCCAGGGGAAGAGCATAAGTGAGTCTTCTTCTTGGCGAAAAGGGGAAAAAGAGAGGGCGGAGGTTCTAGTTGCTCTTCCCCTTCCGCAAATTCCCTCCGCAGCCCTGCGAGTTGAATCCCAATGTTGCCTTCTGGTGGCTCCGGAAACGTGTACAGAAGGCGTCCGCGAGCCTGCCGCGAGCGAGCAGGATGCGTCCAGAAAACGTGGGATTGGGGTGTGGGTGGAGAATGAGCGGCTTTAGCTCGACCCTTGCCCAAGCGGGGCGAGCATCAATTGATTGCTGTTGGGTTGGATCTTCAGATGGGTGTGGGTCAAAACCAACGGTAACATTTTGGGGCACCCATTATAGTACCTATTTTAGTGGTCGGATTGAATCGGATGTTCACTGGGGGCTAACCGATTTGAGTTTTGACCCATGGCCAGAGAACTTTTGATTGAAACAGTAACCGTCGTTCACTTTTACTGGGTCTCGCCATCAAGCAAGCGAGGCACCCCCAAGCTTGAGCCCGGATTGGAACGGCCGCGGAACGGCTGCGGCGGACGGGGGGGAGGGGGGGTTGCCCGGGGAATGCCCGGGCTCTTCCCTCCCCCGCCCCCTGCCTCCCTCAAGAACAAGCACAAGAAATAATTCTGGCTTGCCTTGGTCTTTCAAGGGCCCGCGAAGACTCCTTCTTGATTTTGCTCTTGGTTTCAATTGGAAAATCAGCCAACAGCAACTGCTTGTTCAGGCAAGATCAAGGCTGTTGTTTTGATGCTCTGTTGCTTTCTCCTTGCTGGATGGCGGGGAATCCCGGATTTCACCAGATTGCCATCGCACAAAAGCATTCATGCAAAGCTTCGCTTTTTCTGAAGGCCGGTTTTGTTGTCCTTCTCCTTCTTCTTTCTGTGTCCTCATTTTTTATTTTATTTTTGCAAAGGAGGGGTCTGGGCCTTCCGCCCAGGGATGCCCTGCAAGCCGCAAGCCTTTCTGCAGGTGTCGGATTGCACCCCCACAGGGCTCCTGAAAAGATCGAGCCATGTTTGTGGCTTTTGCAACACCCGAATAAAGTTGGACACCACCATTTGCAAGTTGCAATGTTCGATCGGTGTATAATGCATCCGGATCCCTGTCCTCAGGGGGGAACAAAGGGAACCCTCCCGAAAAAGGGTTCCCGTTTTTTCCTCCAGGGTCACTGAACAACTGAGCAGTGGGAACTGCCTTTGCAGGCAAGCAGGGCGGTTGCTGTTTTCTTGCCTGGCACCGATCGCCCCTAATTTCTGGTGGGGTGGCTCAGAAAGGTGCACATGGATTCTTTGTGCCCCTTTCCACTTATAACCCCTGTAGCCCCTGTAACCCCTGTAACCCCTGTAACCCCTGCACTTGCCTTGCACCCCTGCCACCCACCAGCCAACATGGGTGTGTCTTTTTTGACCGTACCCCTCAACCACGCTTGTTCTCAGGACACCTTTCTTCCATTTCCGCTCATTGCGGTTTGGTTGGCCGGCCTCCAAGTCCACTTCACCGCCAAAATCGGGGGGAGATCATTTTTGGCCCAAACCCAACGCCCACTTCTTCGAAAAGTGGACCACGGGTCTCAACGGAAACGCCCCAACCTCCGGCCGCGCGACTGGGCGCTTCGGGTCCCGGGGGCCGAAGCTGGGTGCGGCTTGCGGGCGGAGGGGTCGGTTTGAAATGGGACCCTCCCCCAACAAAAAAAACCCGGGGGCGGCTTTTTTTGTGGGAAACCCCAGAAACGGCCAAGGCGCCTGGGTTCAAGAAAACCAGGCAACTGGTGGGGTTTCCTGGGCTCATTCCTTGTGGGTTTGGGGGGCCGAAGCCTGGGGTTCGTTCCATGTCTCATTCCCTATCGCACGGGTTCACCTGCCAGGCCTGGACAGCGGGTTCACCACCTTTGAGGCCCGAGTTGAGATCGACGGACTCTCGATCTCGTCGCGCAGGGCCGCAGCTGTTCTTTTTGCGTCTTTTTCTTTTTTCTTTTTCTCCTGTTTTGTTTGCTTGTTTGTTTTGTTTGCTTGTTTGTTTGTTTGGTTTGTTTGGTTTGTTTGTTTGTTTGTTTGTTTGTTTGTTTGTTTGTTGTGTTTGCTTCGTTGGTTGGTTGGTCGGTGGCTTGCTTGGTTGTTTGCTTGGGCGGTTGGCTGGTTGGTTGGTTGGTTGGTTGGTTGGTTGGTTGGTTGGTTGGTTGGTTGGTTGGTTGGTTGGTTGGTTGGCTGGTTGTTTGGCTGGTTGGTTGGTTGGTTGGTTGGTTGGTTTGGTTGGCTGGTTGGTTGCTTGGTTGTTTGTTTGTTTGCTTGGTTGGTTGATTGGTTGGTTGTTTGTTTTTTCCTTTTGGCTGACAACGGGTGATTTTGAGAATGGTATGAAAAGAGGCACGAAAGAACGGAAGCAGCACAAGAACATCCAAACCAACAGAAGCAACACAGATAACACGCGGAGCCCCGTTTCACGGCGAACCCCCCACGTTCTTTTCCGGAATGCTCAGATCGGCCTTCTTTGGCCCAAGGATGCGGAATTGGAGGGACGGTTATGTTTTTTGAGGTTACCCCAAAAACACCCACGACGGGAACTTGATTTTTTTCAGGTTTGATGGGAGGAGCCGGCAGGTAGCCATCATACTCAATGTTTCGTGTGCTTTGGCCGGCTTCCCGTTCAAATCTGCCAAACGCAGGTAACCCTTATTTGGTGGTTTGGATTCGCATCTCAACACCTGGAAGTGGGAAGCCAGCTTTGACCCTCCAAACCACCAATCCGGACCACCAATTAGCCAGATCCATTTTCCGCAGCCACTGAAGCCCTGGGTGCTTGTCGCAGACTTGTTCGGGGACACCGGTTCCATCCGAAGGTGTGGCCCCCGTGAGGGATCTGAGTAGTTCTTTTGCGGCCCGCCTTGCCAGCCAACAAAACCAGAGGTCAGGCACCGAAGCAAATTCTGTTGTCGTAAGCGTCATGTCGTCCGTTGCTATGCAACTGGATGTGTGTTTGCCAAGTGGGTAGAGCTGCTCCGTGTCACTGCCTTCTCTGGATTCAAGGGTCCGCGAACTGAAGACTGAGGCACAGCGGCAGTTCAAGCGCCGCTTCCTGAGGCTTGCTTTCAGAGGGCAGCAGCTAGATCCGTCCTCCAAGTTGAGTGAGGTGGGCGTGCGAGATGGGGACAGCATTGATGCACTGGTGCAGCCAGTGAAAATAGCTTCCACAAGTCTAGCACACGCCGTCTATGTTTCTGGAGGTTCTGCGCTAACATGGGGCAAGCCACACAATGGCAGGTGGGTACCAGAGCAGCTGGTGCATGTCCGACAGATCCAAGCAACAGCTCGTGCTTTTGCTGCACTTTTGGACAACGGCTGTGTGGTGACTTGGGGCGATCCTCGTGATGGCGGTGACAGCAGCGAGGCGCCAGAGCAGTTGGTGGGCGTCCAGCAAATCCATGCAAGCGGGTCTGCTTTTGCAGCCATTCTGCAGAACGGCTCTGTGGTGACCTGGGGCTGTCCTGTCGATGGCGGTGACAGCAGCCATGTGCAAGAGCAGTTGGTGTGCGTTCAGCAGATCCAAGCAGCTGGCCTTGCTTTTGCTGCCATTCGAAGCGATGGCTTTGTTGTGTCTTGGGGCCACCGTGGCTATGGCGGTGACAGCAGCCCGGTTCGAGAGCAGTTGAAACGCGTCCAGCAGATCCAAGCGACTCATTTTGCTTTTGCTGCCGTTCTGGAGGATGGCTCTGTTGTGACTTGGGGCCATCGTGCAAGTGGCGGGAACAGCAGCCAGGTGCGAGAGCAGCTGGTGCATGTCCAGCAGATCCAAGCAAGTCATTGCGCTTTTGCTGCCCTTCTGGACAACGGCTCTGTGGTGACTTGGGGTGATCCTCGGGATGGCGGCGACAGCAGCCAGGTGCAAGAGCAGTTGGTGTGCGTCCAGCAGATCCAAGCAACCCAGTCTGCTTTTGCTGCCATCCTGGACGACGGCTCCGTGGTGACCTGGGGCCAGCCCGAAAACGGCGGTGACAGCAGCCAGGTTCGAGAGCAGCTAGTGCATGTCCAGCAGATCCAAGCAACTCAGCGTGCTTTTGCTGCCCTTTTGGACAACGGCTCCGTGGTGACTTGGGGTGATCCTGGTTGTGGCGGTGACAGCAGCCAGGTGCAAGAGCAGTTGGTGCGCGTCCAGCAGATCCTGGCAGTCGGTGCTTACGCTTTTGCTTCCATCTTGGAGGATGGATCTCTTGTGACGTGGGGCGCTCCCGACATGGGTGGTGACAGCAGCCACATTCAGTCTGAACTGGATTGGTTGTGACAGTTGGCCCAGTGAACCTAGGAGTCTGGCTTTTGCATTGCAAAACGTCGTTTAGCCAAACTTTGAAAGGCTGTTCTCAAAGTAGTGGTCCCCAACACGGTTGGATTCATTTTGGTTTCCCTTAAGCCAAGCTTAAAAGTGTACCCTTTTGGTTTCCGGTTGGTGTCCATTCAAACCAGAAGCGCCTGCACCCAAACTTCTTACCTTCGTCAGCTGCGCTTCTTTTGCGCGCAAAACTTGAAAACTGGACCCTAGGCTTCAACACCTTCTGAGCGCATGGCAAGGACCCAATTTAGATGATGGCAATCCTTAGGAAACCATGGTGGTTATATGAAACCCAGGGTGGAAAACCATCCCCGAGTTGGTTTCCTTGATTCGGGAATCCCCAAATCGCACCAGTGTTGGGCAGCTCGAAAAGAAAACAAAGCACATCTTCGGCCTTGGAAAGGGTCCAAACTGGAAAGCTGTCCCAACCAACGAGCCATGGTTTCAATGATGGTTTGCCCGAACCCCACGAACAAAAAGGAGGACATGACCGCTATAAAGCGTCCCCAAAACCGGTTCATTCCCAGACTTTTGGGTCCTTCCCTACCTTTTGCACCATAGCGGAGGTATTTACCTTGGAAAACATCAACCCCAACTAGTGGGTTTTCCGAAGAAAAAACCCCACTAAAACTGAGTCAAACCTTTTCGCAGGGCTTCGCAGATTTCATGTATTTCGCTCGGCCGAGGTGAAGTGCGTGCGTTTGGTGCAGCCCCTGGAGGAGAACCACTCGGCGTCCAGCATAGGCGTTGGAGTCGTTTTGGTCGGTTTTGGTCGTTGTTGGTTGGTTTTGGTCGGGAGGACGAGGGGGAAATCTGAGGGAAAAGTTGGACAAAAGAACCCGGTAAGAAGAACGACTCCTGCAAAAAGTTTCGTTTTTTCTTGGCGGGGGGGGTCCTTGACAATCCAAATGGGTCTGGCATCTTGAGAAGACGGCGTCCAAGTGTTGTCCTCGAAAGGGTTCCGCCCACTGGTTGCTTCTGTCCATTTGCGCAACTTTTTGGCCGAGCTTTCCACACCTTCAAACACTTACCTTTTTAGAAACACAAAACTGTTCGATCTTTTTGGGGGTAAAAGATGAACGGTATGTCTGTAAAAGATGAGAACCTCCCCAGGTTGCTTGGGGTTTTAAGGGGTAAGATAACAAGGTCAGGTCATGGCAAGCGCGTTTGGAACAGCCCCTGCATGGGTGCGCAGCTGGTGACTCGCGAAGAGTCGCCGAGTCGAATTGGCCCAAAGAATCCAAAGGTCATGGCGATTCCTTCGCCGGAACCGCCATGGGAATCGCCATGGGGAATCTGCGGGTATCGTACGTGGGGAAGTTGCATTCCTTATTCCCCCAACAGCTGGGAAGGTATGGGGTCGCCCAGATTTTGGGCTCCTTCGGGCTCCTTTTTTTGAGAGAAGAACCAGCTGAGCAGGGGGCCTTTTGTTTTGGAGGCCCAGGAATGGGGTGAATTGGTGGACTTTGGATTCAACCTGCCCGTCCATGGTGCGACGAAATACGCTTCAACCTCCAATCCCAACTGATTCGGAGTGGATTTCACCCACAGCCGGGGGTTCCTAAGTTTCCACAACAGGACACGTCCCGTCTCCAAGTCCGGGGTTCAAATCCGAGGGAAACCATTCCCATGAATCGTTTTTCCAAGATCCCGACCGGTGAAGACTTAGATGGTCCGGGATGACTCGCGCTTTTGGGTTCGGAGGATCGTCCCTAGTTCCATTTTGGACGGGAGGGTACCATAAGTTTGCGCCTCACTTGTGAGCTCATCAACTCGAGGGTAAAACGAGCTCACCGTGGTGGGGATCCCTGTTTTCAGGTCTTG